AATATAAAAATAAAGTTTTACGTATTCAGGTGACTAACAAAATACACATTTTATAAAAAATTTCAATCATATTGAACATTTTTATAATAAAGGGCTCCTGGCGATACAGAACTACTAAAGCAAAACATAGAGAAACCCACGCAATCGACACTATAATGAGTTCTAATAAATTAATCAACAAACTAGCTGTAAGTGGAATTCTGTCTTAAGGCAATTAAGGCATCGTGCCTTGAGGCAAATTGCTGGAACTTCCCGTACCAAATTTTTTTTTTTAAAAACGATTAAGATTTTTGAAAAAATTTTACTTCGAAAATATAAGACTTTTGAGAAACTATATATTGGACAAAAAATTACTTTTTTTAAAAAAAAAAAAAAATTAAAATTTTTTTTTTTTATTTTTTTTTTTTTGAAAAAAAAAATGTTTTATTTTATTTTGACATATTTTGGAAGATCTAAACTTTTTTCAAAGTAATCGTACTGCTTTAAACTGCATAAAGACGAAATATCAAAGCGCGTAAGCGCCGCGTCGTCGTCTAACGCGTAAACATTGGTACGGAACCCATAGGAATGTAAAAAAAAAATTATACTTATTGTTAAAATCTCTATAAAATATCTGATAATTTGATGTGCATATGTCTAATGATCATTTTTGACCGCCAAATGGCATTTTTTTTTACTTTTTGCATCAGATCTCCGAAACCGTTAGACCTGCCTTTATGAAAATTTGATCAATTCTTTATCTTGTCAATACAAGTAAAATGTTTTTTGAATTATTCAAATCGGACGCTCCGTTCTCTTAAAAACTGAGTTACCGTTTTCGGCACTTTTTGCCCCGTATCTTTGGAACGGCTAGACCTGCCTTCGCCAAAAACTAATCAGCACGTCTCCTTATTAATACGAATCGAATGTTTTTTGAATTATTCAAATCGGTTGATCCGTGTTCCCGAAATCGTCGACGAAAATTTGTATCCGCACATACATACACACACACACATACATACATACATACATACATACATACATACATACATACATACACACACACACACACACACACACATACATCCATTTTTTCTAAGGTATGCCAATATATTCAGAAACCTTTGAAACGTAAAGATATATAAAAAATTTCATTTTCGATTTTTTTGCGATTACTATAACTTGCCCTACGGGAAGTTAAAAAATTTTTATATATCTTTACGTTTCAGAGGTTTCTGAACATTTTGGCATACCTTAGAAAAAATGGATGTATGTGTGTGTGTGTGTGTGTGTATGTGTGTGGTGTGTGTATGTGTGTGTGTGTGTGTGTATGTATGTATGTATGTATGTGTGTGTATGTATGTGCGGATACAAATTTTTCGTCGACGATTCGGGAACACGGGTCAACCGATTTGAATAATTCAAAAAACATTCGATTCGTATTGATAAGGAGACGTGCTGATTAGTTTTTGGCAAAGGCAGGTCTAGCCGTTCCAAAGATACGGGGCAAAAAGTGCCGAAAACGGTAGCTCAGTTTTTGAGAGAAACGGAGCGTCCGATTTGAATAATTCAAATAACATTTCACTTGTATTGACAAGATGAAGAATCGATAAAATTTTCATGAAGGTAGGTCTAGCGGATTCGGAGATATGGAGGAAAAAGTAAAAAAATGAGCCATTTGGCGGTCAAAAATGATCATTAGACATATGCACATCAAATTATCAGATAGTTTATAGAGATTTTGACAATAAGTATACATTTTGTTAACATTCCTATGGGTTCCGTACCAATGCTTATGCTTTAGACAGCGACGCGGCGCTTACGCGCTTTATATTTTGTCCCTATGCAGTTAAAGCAGTACGATTGATTGCTTTGAAAAGAAAGTTCAGATCTTCCACAATATGTCAAAATAAAAAAAAAAAAATTTCAAAAAAAAAAAAATTAAAAAAAAAAATTTTTTTTTTAAAAAATTTTTTTCAAAAAAAGTAATTTTTTGTCCAATTTATAGTTTCTCAAAATCTTATTTTTTCAAAGTAATTTTTTTTTTCAAAAATGTTAATCGTTTTTAAAAAATAATAATTTTTGGTACGGGAAGTTCCAGCAATTTGCCTTAAGGCACGATGCCTTAATTGCCTTAAGACAGAATTCCACTTACAGCTAGTTAGATATCAACTGCAACTATGTCTACCATCTACTTCAATGTACGACTAGAAAATAAACAAATGTGATTCACTTCTAAAGACCATGGTTCGCAATCATCCTCGCACACGAACGCATTACATTTAACATAATCAAATGTACAGCTCACAATAAATAACGCGAGCTCGCCATAACTAACATAATTAATAAACTTTAAACATATTTTATAATTTACATAATTCATAAAAACCCCCACGCACCTGGGATTCCAAAGGTAACAACTCGAATACGTACAATGACATTCCAGAAACCCAACAGGTAACTGACTGTCGTCTTCTGCCTTTTGTATAACACCTTCCCGCTCTCTTTTAGGAGACGTAAGTCGGTTACTAATTGATAATTTTTTCTAAAGTCACTCCTCAGTCGTGCCCAGATAGTTTTTTATTCTACAAATCGTGATAAAGATTTTTTTAAATCTGTTTTTATCTTTTTAATATAAATTATTTTTAATTCTTATTTTAATTGTTAGAAGAACGCGTGCTTGTTGAAAAGATTTTTTGATTAGTTCTTATACTGGATATATATATATATATATAAAAATTCCAATAGTAAATTGTTTGAAGTTTGCAATTTAAAATCAATATTCTTTAAATAATTAACTTTTTAAAAGTGAGGGTGATGTTTTAACCAGAAAATCCTGTTCGCTCTTTTCTTATTGTCCCGACATTTCGAGTTATTTTACTAAGAAATCATCAGAATTAGTTTCTGGTAAAGATCGGTAGGGTTGTTTCTTTGTAGTTAGTTTGAAAAAGAGAATTTTCTAAAATTTTAACGCGGAAATTGCCACGATAAAATAGGAAAAATGTTCACAGATAATTTAGTTAAAAATATATCTAGAAAGCTTAATTTATCAAAAAAAATCTGTTTGCCAAATATCCTAAAAAAAATTATATGTTTATATGTCACACATATACGACTGACATGACAAATGTGACAACACAAATTGCTTATATGTGTGACACATATATCAATTTAGCTCATAGGAATCTTTATGTATTTCTGATTGCTAAATAAAACAGTTAAAAAATAAACTGGCAATTAACGTGCTAATATAATTTTATATGATGATCGAAGTCCTAATAAATATCGAAAAACATATCATAGGCTTACGACAAATAGTTTTATTACAAAAATTCGTTAAAGTTTGTGATAATGAGTCGCGCCCCTAGGACATACACCGTATATGTCCTAAATGTGTTAAGGTGCACTATATTTTATAAAATTACAGATATTTCAAGTCTATTCGGTAAATCTATATAAAAATTCAAATTGATTGAGTTTTGATAAAAGCTAAATATTTCATCTAAATACTCTATTTTGTTCAAAATTTTATCTAATTATCTAAATCTCAATTCTTATTTCATAATTTCTATATAGTTCATGCAACTTCAGGCAAGTTGCAAGCAAAATGCCACTTACAACTAGTGTTTAACATTCCGATGGAGAAGTTTGTTTTTTCCAAAAAATTCATTTTGCTAATTTTGTTTTATTTATGTTTCAAGTCATTCTGAATTGTTTGAGACCGATATAGGAAAAAGTATGTGTTCCAAAATTTGCTGTTTTTCCGATGTTTTCTCGAAAATGGCAGTTCTTATTAGA